TAACGACTATTTTACTAATAAAATTGGTTTTAGCAAAATATCAAGCTTTGTAGTTTGTTTCACACACCATAACCGGTTTGAAAGTTTTGTAACACAAATATTTAATTTGGTTTTGACTCTAGAAAGTCACGATTTTTACAAAAACGCATATAATAACCTTGATATTTAATATATTCAAATATTTGTGTAAAGTATAAAAGGTGAACATGCATATGTCCATGAGTTAAACATGCTTGAATATATGTATGCCACAAATTCGACATTTTTTAGTGAATAAAAAAAGACCACAAAAATATTATGTAACAATGATGTTCACAATACTTATTTCACAATTTTTATGTAGCTATCACATGATATAAACCTTATTGTCCAAGAATTTGTTCCATTTTTAACACATAACTATGACGCATGCAATTATCCAAAGGATAACCTTATTCTAGCATACATGAAGCTTGTAAATAATGATTTTAAGGTGTGTGTTAGTATGAGATATTTAACATCATAAACACGAATTGTTACATAAACATGTAGGTGCATGCAAATATCCAATGGTTAAATGAAACTTGAATCGTATTCCCTTTTACCATTTCTTTTCTCTATTTTTTTTGTTTGTCTTGACTCCCAACCGAAACCCTAGGAAGTTTTTGGCCATACAGGCTTCCCAAGGGGGTTTTTGGTTTTAGGGTGGCTGAAAACACCCTATGTTCTTAATGGATTTTCGGTTTGGAGTGTGTATAAGCTTTTGGACTTAATTGGGCCCAATAAAGGAGTTTTCAGTCCAATAAGGCCCAAAAGAAATGGGTTTTCAGCCAAGAGTGTTTGGGTCGAGAATTCTTGGGCCAAGGCCCAAAATTGATTGGGTTAAGCTATTAGATCAAGTTTTGGGCTTACAAGAGGCTATTTCAACTTGATTCTTAATGTATGCTCATAAGTATTCAAATAAGATTGTAGTTTGAATTTCACAAATTTGATGTAGTAAGGTTACATAGAGGAAGTTGTTTTGTACAAGAATTACCATCTCAACCCTAAATTTTCTAGTTGTGACATCATTCCCCCGTTAGAGGGAATTTCGTCTTGAAATTTGTTCTAAAGTAGCCTTTAAGAACTATGGAAAAAGATTGGGGTACTTCTACATCATTTGATCTTCGCGTTCCCAGGTGTACTCAGGTCCTTGTTTGGCACTCCATCAGACCTTTACAATGGGTATCAGGCTTTTCTTTGTTCGTTTCACTTCTTTATCCATGATTTCAAGTGGTTCCTCAACGAAATAAAGGTTTTCATTCACCTCACTCTCATCAAGCGGGACAACCAATGTTTGGTTAGATAATCATTTCTTCAAATTTGACACATGAAAGACAGGGTGTACATTGCTGAGTTTTGGTGGTGTAACATCCGGACTTCCAGGTATATTGTTTATTTATTTATTTTGAGGACTATTGAACAACTCGACGAGTTGGTGCTACAACTCGTCGAGTAGAGTCGCTGTTGATACCGTTGTCGTACATGATTTAAAAAAATAAAAATAATAAATAAACTACTTTATTTCACTGACAGGTAGTACAGGTAAGCATGGTCGGATCCTCAGGGACACGTCCTAATGTTTACACCTCTTTGCGTAAGGTGTGATCTAATTCTTGATGAATGCAATAAACATAAGGGGGGGGGGGTATTTCTGAAAATTAAGCTAATAGAAATCGAAAAAGACAAAAGAATAACTAAATTTAAAGTGGTGAAAATTCAAATAAAAGAAACCAATTCCAGTTTCGCGGTGACTCCCCTGATCATATAATTAACCTTCAACACAATATTTGACTATACACTTATTTAAACTGGTACTGAGGTTCATTAACAAGCTCTAATGACCTTTATTACAAAAATTCATTTAATCAAAATAAGTTCTCTGAATTAAATCTAACTTTTCACTAAATTAACCAAACAAGCTCTTGACTAATAAAGAAATGTTGCATTAGACACAGTGTAATTCCCAATAAAGTTCAACACCTATCATAAGCTCGGAGGCGTTAAAATTTGTTTGATCATTTCATATTAGAGTTAAACGAAAACTTAGAATTAGTCTAATACTTGTCACTGTTTACTAATTAATCTAGACAATTACGGATCTAAACAATTAGGTGACTAGAATGTTTCACAAATAATTTATGTGGCCAACAGGAACTGAAATCAAAATCAAACATTAAATTTAACACAGAACTGATCAAACTAAACTGTAGTCAAAGTTAAACGTAGCGCCTAATGATTAATCATATGAAAAGGTTACGTCTTGCAAAACTAAAATATGAGTTTTTAGCCTAACATGGCTAAAAACGGATTACAAACAGTGGAAATAGAATCTAAACGATAAATCTTACTAAAATATGAATTGGAATCGAATTGTCTCCTTTAGATCTGCGTTCTTCACTTGAAAACCTTTGAAAATCGCCTCTAAATTTCCAGAAATCGCCAATTAGGGTTACTGGAAGAGTATTAGGCAGTACTTATACATTTAGCTGTCAAAATTCCGAATATGCGATCACAAAGGTCGTACCTGCGATCGCATGTATCACCCAAAAATGTGTCACGAGATTATTTAATGAAGCACGTTGCCATTTCAATGTAAATTGACCAACCTGCGATCGCATGTTTCTTTTTTTCCCTCAAGTGATGAATTTTTTAGCTCAACAAAGCCTTGTAAACAACCTGCGATCGCAAGGAGACAAGGTGTGATCGCAGGTTACTTTTTTTTTTGGCTCTTTTGATCTTCGTTCCTCCTTCCAAGTAGTTGTTGATCATTTCCCGACATCCTTCCTCGGTCTAGACTCCAATTAAGCTCCTAAACATCCACAAACATATCCCGAACTTGCACAATCATCCATGTGCTCCAAATGGCCCTGAAAAGTCATAACAAACATGAGAAGTACGAGCATTCTACAAAATAATCATGAAACACGAAATACATAAGAATAATTAGGAATTAGTGAACTTTTTATGATGAAATACTTAGGAAATTCTGCTAAAAGATGCATATAAAATGCATCTAACAAACCTCCCCAAGCATAGACCTTACTTTCCCTCAAGTAAGGAAATGATAACTTTGGAAATGGAATTAGGGATAAAGGCAATAACTAGACTACCTAGACACACGTTAACTAAAATTAAAAAAATGAAAACCTAATTAATAAGAACTACCAAAGCTAAACAAAAAACATGCATGCAAAGATAAAGAAAATGAACAATGAACTAAAATAGTATGCAAATGAGAAACAAACAACTAAAATGAAACATGTTTTTTTTTCTTTTTTTCTTTCCTTTTTTACGATCAGACTTTACATCGATAATGGGCTCCAATCACTAACACCAAATCAACCATCCCACTATCTTTCATGTATCACAGACTCCCAAAGTAAGGAACACCACTAAATGATGTAACCCAATAATCCAACTCTAGTTTTATTTAAACTTTGTACCTTAATTAGCTTTATAAGCGAAAATAACATAGTCCGAATCTCATGTCCTAAAGACTAGATGACCAAGAATTAGAATCGACGTATCCTTAAGAACCTGCACGACCAAATCAACTTTCGCCGAAGTAGCAAGGGCCAACCCCCGTAGTAGCCCGAGCTCTATACTTTCACTTTTTCGAGAGCCACAAGTATCATATCACACATTTCTTTATTCGTCAGATGTAACTTTGGAACGACTTCTAATTTGGTTGAACTTTGATTTACACTTCGTTTTGAGCTTGATTTCTTCAATCTCTTTTTTTGGAATTTCTTGAAGTTTATTCAATTGAGCACTTGAAATTCTTTGATTTGGGGTACTAGATATAACGTTGTACCCAGTCTTCATTTTGACTGTGTGGATCTGATACTTAAGCTCTCTGTTACCTCGAGGGTAACGCGTGTCAACAAATAGGGCCATGTTCTGTGGGTTCACAATTTCCGATAAAGATTCTTTTTAAACATTAATAAGCAAATCATCCTAGAGCTGTTATTACCGCCCAAAAATCTTTTGAGTACACAATTATTTTATTATCTAAGGCCGGGGTCTCAAATCAAGGTGTCTTGGGTCCCCTGGTTATGACAACTGATTTTACACTTCCAATAACAATCAAGTTGCTTCAGATTTTTTTCATTTTCAATTCTCGATATCCCACTTCATGGAGGTATCGTATGTAAAGAGTGTCATGATCTTGTAAATTTTTTTAGTTTTTATTTTTTATATTTTTTAAAAATGCAGAATGCAACAAGATGAAAATATTTTAGAAAAAAAACTAGGAGGAAATAAAATGACAAATAAAAGAAAGATAAATGAAAAATATTTTTGGATTTTTTTTAAATGACAAAATAAGAACTTTTTACAAAAAGGTAGGAAATCCCCTCCAAAAGCTTAAAATTAAGCATTGTCCTCAATTCTTAGGGAGGAGTAGAAGACGACTACTCGGACGGGGGAGCATAGCGACAAAAGAATTCGTCGTGGAAATCATCGAAATTGTCGCACAGACCTAAGAGCTCGTTACGACAGCCGGTGACCTGAGTGCTATATTGCTGAAAGTCGAGGCAAAGACCAGTCATCGTTTGCTGAAGGGAAGTAATATCCTGACGGAGGTCAAGATAATGCTGGTAAGTGAAGGGAGAGTTGGGGTGAGGGTGAGATGGCACTATTAGAAAACAGACCTTTAATGACGCGCAACTTATGACGCACACAGATTTACGAAACGCAAAAGTGTGCGGTTGAAAAGTAATGTCATCTCTTCAAAATTTTGAAGGATTTCGGACACACATTTTTGCGCGCCCAAAAATTTGTGTCAGTATAAAAACACGGAGAGTGCTTATTATAAAATGTGTGTTATCTAAGGATGTTGCTTTATAAATTTTTAACGAAACGTGCGTTTTTTAAAGCCTTGGGGGGAAATGGAATCCCCAAAAATTAAACCACCCCCTATTCGATCCAATCTCAGTCTCCCTTATTCCCTCTGTTGATGCCTCCACCTTCTGTGATCTATGCTAATCTTTGAATTAGCAAGAAAGAAGCCATATGGCCTTCGTCTTCACCCACCTCCAACACCCCCAACCCTTTTTCGATCATCCATCACAATTCAGGATTTCTCTACAAGAAAACCTCCAACTATATCCTCCACATTAAGAAAAAAAACCCTAAATGTCAGCCACATTTCTACATCGGGGTCCCCTAGGGATTTTCTGATAGGGTCGATTGCTCATATTTAGTTCATACACCCCCTGTAACCAAACCCTTAGCAACCTAAAACAAACCTAATCTTCTGTTCGTTCGTCTTGGCGGCTAGAAAAGGGGTTGTTCAAGTTTTTCTACGAGGCTGTCGGATTTTTGAGTTATCATCGAGGGAGGAGGAAGAAGAGGACCTCGAGAAAAAATTTTCTCCAACCTCAGGTATAGATGCCTATTCTTTTCTTCTCCTTTTATCTTTTCCTCGCCAAGCACCACCTAACACCATGGTCGGTAACCCAGGATTCTGGCGTTTTTCTCTGCCACCACCCATCACCATTAGGTGGTTATGGTTGTATGTGTGGGTGTTCTAATATGTATGCTATCCAGATTCATATTCCAAGTCATTAGTTTGTGTGTACATGATTTTTTTTTCATTTTGTCCACAACCGTGAACCACCAGAATAGCACCACCGCGACCTCCTATTGTCGGTGTGTTACACCTCCTGCTACCATGGGTAGGTGGATGTGGATTATGTGTTCACACATGCTATGTGAACTTTTCAATTTTAAATTTAGGAGAATCATGTATGTCGTTAGTTTCTCCAGTTTTTTTTGTACGTATATATATATATATATATATATATATATATATATATATATATATATATATATATATATATATATATATATATTCCATGTGTGTGTGCTTGCCTCTAGATTTAGAGTTCATTGAAGAATACATGTATGTACTGAAATTGTGTGAAATGCATTGTGGTTTTGGTGGCATAGTTGTGGCCATGTCATCCCAACAACAAGGGGGTTAGGTTGTGTACATAGTTTGGTTATGGATGGGTATAAGCAAAAGTAAAGAAGTAACATAGTTCGTCAATGTAAGAAATGCAGGCAGCCTTATAAAAAAATATGTTGATGTTCATTTTGTGGTATAATGAATCTGGACTATCTCTTTCAGATTATTTTTTTTTGGTTTAATAACAAAACCAGCATCCTAAAATTTTGGATTTTATAAATACCATTACTACTCGTTCTTTTGATATCACTTTCTGAAGCTAGAATTGTAATCCTGCAACCTCCTGCTGATGGGGATGGTGTGGAAGCAGAAGCAGAACCATCCTGACTAAATGGCGCAAAAAAACAGCTATCACAAGAATTCAATTCTTCATTTTGTTTCTTGGGGGTTGATTGATCTTCTTTCGATTCTTCAATATAAGTTCAAAGTTTATTTAGTTTGTTTTGATGTATATAATTTCGATGTATGTACGTTATGTTTCGTCTCCACTAAGTTCTTTGTATTTTTGTTTTTTTTAAATTCACTGAGGTGATTGGATTTTAACCCACTCTTTAATGGGGATAAACTTATTTCAGGATTCCATGAATTCTTGTGGCTTAACAAATGTCGACTCATCATCGAAAAACCTATGTTCTTTGTAATTCAGGTTTTAATTAATTGTTGGGAACTTACTGGTTTTTCCTCCGGTCTTCAATGGGGTGAAATTGTATGTCATGGTTCACTGTTTTGTAAGTATTTTCCAGGATTATCTGATGTTGAATGATGGGATTTAAAATCAGATTATGGGAATTACAGAAGATCTTCTCATATTTATGTGTTTTTTTTATCCCTAAATCTCTCAATGATGGATTCTAATTGATCTGAAACTACAATATTATGATAGAGGTCGAATTGATCGCTTGGTCCTGCCAAGTGCCAAAAGCATGTGTTGAAGTGGGCTTACTTTCTCTTTATGGTTTGCTTGCATTTTTTTGTAAGTGGGTTTAAAAACCAAAAACGAAATTTCACTCACATTCTTAAAATCCGTATTAATTTGTATTGCACACCAACCGTTTGATGAAATTTCAAAGGTAAAATCAAGATTTGTGCTCTCTGTTGTCTCTCATAAGATTGTTTCACTTCATTTTCCTGTTTAAATTCACTCAGATTAATGTTTGTATCTTTTAATTGCAGTAACTTAAAGAGGTAAAATATCACATGTAGTCATTTACAGGAGGTGTGTCTTCCTTTTTTTCCTCAACTATTCTCTTCAAGATTTGAATTTATATTTATTTGATGGAGCGTATATGCTTTCAAATGTTTTATTGGATAACAATGGTGTAATTATTTTATTTGTAGGCATCTTCCAATAAACATGATTTTAGTTGGTGTTTTTCTATGTCTACAAATCAAATTAGCCCTTTAATTATTTTTTCAGCATGCACTTTTACAAATACAATCATTTCCAACATTGCAATTTCATTTTCTTTCCGTATTACAACATTACACTTTTATTTTTTCTTATCAAATCATATTTTCAAAAATCCACCCAACTATAACATTGCACTTTAATTTTTCAAAATGCCTAGATTACCTTATATGGGTCGTGCTTAGCACGGGCCTCAAAACATAACTAGTATATATATATATATATATATATATATATATATATATATATATATATATATATATATATGTATTTATCAAAAGTTGAAAATTAAAATAGCACTTGGCAGAAAGTGTTTATAAATCCAGAGATTGTGAAAGATGGAGCAATGAGTTACATGAAGTTGTTTAATCAAGGGCTGCACTTGTACAATTTCATACACTTGCTTTGCTCCAGCAGGTATAACTAAATCCTAAAGTGTTAATAAAAAAATGACCAAAATAACCACATTTAATGTGATAATTTTCGACATTTAACCCATTAATTTAAATAATTTTATATATTTTTAGATAAGGCAAAACGACCAATTGGCTGTTAGCAAATTAGTTACCAATTTAACAAGGGGTAACTCCATATAATCTTATGATGCATGATACTGATGGTATTATACATATCCCATATTCCATTAAGTTTGAATTAATTATTAATTTGTTATCTAAATTAATTAAAGTGTTGTTGACTTGTTGTAGGATCTTTATCTCATATTGGGGGCTCTGGTAGTTTCCTTGAAGGAGATGATAAAAACAACATCAGACTAAATGCTGAAGCAATTCACTCAGCACTAAATGAGATGGCATGTTCTAGTAGCAACAGTAACACCCATTCTGGATGGACTTATTCAGATAATGAAGATGAAGCAAAAGCCATGGATCATGATCTAGGTTCTTCCTACTTCCTTCATCTTTACCCTTTTGCTTATCTATTATTTAAAAAAAAAAATTAAACTCATGATATGATGAGGGTTCAGATGATGAAGGTAGGAAGAGTGCAAGAAGATTTAGGAAGAAAACAAAGGCGTAGTATGATGAAATCTCCCTAATAAATTTTTAGGTTAGTTGAAGTTAGTGTGACTTCTTTCATTAGTCTTGCATCTTCATTTTATTGACGATAATTCCCCCGTAACTCGGGTTCCGTCTTTTTCTACAAATCACCCAATATTTCTACATATATTAATAATACCGACGTATAAGTATAACATATTTATCTTCTTTTTTTTTTTTTTAATAGAGAACAGCTTGGTTGGGAATATTTTACATGTGCATACCTACAGGAATTACCCTTGGTTATGTTTATGGTGGATGGGTAAATTTGGCAAGAGAATAGGTTGGTTTATGAGATCCTTCATTTATTTTCATGATATTATCCAAAGAATTTAATTTCCAATTCTAAAAATATATTTCTTGCTAACTTATTTACCAATTGTTCTTCCTTATTGTCAAGGAATTTGGCACACACAAGGTTGGAGCACTTATATAGTAAGGTTAATTCATGTAAATTTTAAGTTTTTTATTTATTATTATTTTTTTTATTTTTTATTTTTTTTATGATTTTCAAGGTTCTATTCGTTACATTTTTATTTTTGATTTAAATATTGTGTCTGATATGATGTTTGTTTGATTTTGGGTTTTGGTTAGGGAAGTTTGAGCTCGGTAAGCTCGGGCAGCATCTATGGTGGCCCGGGCAACATTGAACAACCCTATTCCTCTGCTTCTACTAATCTGCCCAAATGGCCCCTGAGAACCAGAATGTCGTTATTTTATGCAGACTGGATCATATTAGATCCTTATGCTAAAGTTGGTTGCTTGTTTCATCTATTACATTTGGATATTTATTATTATTGAAATCTTTAAGATGCAATATGTTTATTTCCTTACTCGTGATTGTGCTTGTGACCTTGGATTTTCACAATTTCATATTCCTTCTAAAAGGTAATAGGATTTGACTTTGTGGTTCTTATTCAAACTATTTTAAGCAGGGATGAGTTTGGTGTTTTGGGACTCGATGATGATTGTTGGAGCCAAATGGCCTGCAAAGTCCGTTCTAATCATGAGGTATGAGTTTACTACTTACTAGTAATACCTTACCTTAGATTGAACATCAAACTATATCTTGTTTCAGTTTTGGTTTGTATTTATTTCTTTGACTTAGTTTGACTGGGAAGGAGATATGCCCCTATCATTTGCACAAAGAGATCTAGTAATTTACGAAATGCTTGTTCGTGGATTTACAAGGCATGAGTCCAGTAAGACATAGTCTCCTGGTATTTACCTTGGTGTGGTGGAAAAACTTGATCATTTAAAGGTACATGCTCAATAAATGCATGGGTCCTGTTATTCGGCCATCTCTCTAGAAGGCTGGTTGTTTCAGGTTGAATATGCTATTGAGGCCATTAAGGTATATTTATTGATCATTTACCTATTGGCTAATGTTATGAATACCATGAAATGACTTTTATATGTGTGTGTTTGGCTGTTGATTATGATGCTAGTTGGGTTCGACTGCTATTGGGTTGAAGACCAAGGAAGGAATTGTTCTTACTGTTGAAAAAAGAATCACCGCTCCACTTCTGGTATGCCCATTATATGTTCTCCATTGATGTGTAGGTCTGGTTTTAGATGTATGTACACTACTACTAGAATTGTAGATGGTTGATAATTGTGGACTCTTATCCTTCACTATCAACCAAATATGAATATTGTATTTTATGTGAAATGTCACATACATTCTTTCATTTGGTTTTCGCCCATTTATAGTTTTTGTCCGTCTCTCTCTCTCTGTAGATAGTGTGGTATTATGATTTCCTTCATTAGTTTACCTAACAGTTAATACTACAATTGGTCAAGTAGAGGACCATTTGTGTTTATCATACACAATTTGTTAAAAAGATGTTTGTTCTTATTTTAATCATTTAGACTACATGTTTCTCTATTACATTATTATTGTTTCATTACTCTGTAGGGTGGAGATTATGCTCTTAAACAATCTACAAATGAAGGAGCAGATAGATATACATTAACTGTTGTGGTGCCTATTGTTAAAAAATAAAAGAGATAAAGCTTATAATCTGGACATGATATTTGAAAAAAGAAGGTGTCCCTTAATAGCAATGTAGTATTAGGTTATATAGTTAGGAAAAATCTTTTAATAACAATGTACAATCAGATCCCCTAAATATCAATGTATTACTGTTTTTTTCATGATGTTATTTTATTAAATTGCTTGTTTTGGTATATATTTGTTTATATGTTTTTGTATTATGCGTAAATGAGTATCGTAAAGGCACATTGTATATGCATATCATAAATGGTTGATGAAGTTTATGACACGCAAATGCATGTCATCTTCATTTATGACAGGGGCTTTAATGATACACAATGCGTGTCCTAAACGTGCATCGTAAGGTTATGACACGCAAATGTGTGTCGTCTTCCTTTATGACAGGGCCTTCCTTGATACGTATCGTGTGTCGTAAATGTGTGTCATAAATGTGCGTTGTAAATGTGTGTCGTCTATAGACGACGCACAAAAGCGTGTTGTCTCTCGTTATGACAGGGCCTTCCTTGACACACATTTTCGCGTCCTCTAAGCATTTTACGACACGCATTGCGCGTCGTAAAAAGGATATTTTTCTAGTAGTGTGAGTGGGTGGGTCGGGGCTGATCCTGAAAGTCAGTCTGCATAGGATCAGGAAGGCTAAAGGATATTGGTGTGGCGTCTGTGTAGTCTGGGTGCTTAGTGGACGAAGATGGTCGATTAGACTGTGGGTGCTGGGCCTGCTGTGCCCTACGTGGGAGAGGAGGTGGTGGGATGTTCGAAGGAAGCACCCACACAGTCTTGCTAATAGGGTCAGAGAGAGCGATGCCATCAGGTCTAGTGACCTTGAAATACGTGGAGCGACCCCGCATCCATACACACCCACCTGGGGCAGTATGAAGTATGTGCATAACCCAAAGGTGCTGCAGGGTCAGACGAAAAGAATCACCTGTAAAGAAGGTCTACTCCGGAGGAGATTGCGACATTATAACACCCAAAAAAATTGCATGCCAATTTAAAACTTTTTCAAAACATTTTAAAGCCAGTCATCATTACAAAGTTATTTTCGAAATACGTAACATCTGAGTTTTCCCATAAACATACACAAATCATGAGGGGCTATACAATCATGCCTTCGCCTTTCCGCGATCCCCTGATGTACATAAAAGAATAAACTGAAATTGTAAGCCCAAAAGCTTAGTGAGCTCCCCCAAAATACCTATACAAGCAACAACACAAATATAATCATAAACAACATAGTAAAGGTCCAATCAACCATCGGGTTGGAATACCCCAGGCCCTTAACCATCCGGTTGGAATGCCAATCATCTTATGGGTCAAATTATCCTCGGGATCGAATACCCTAGGCCCATAACAAACAGGTTGGAATGGCCACATACTATGAGTCCAATTATCTTCGGGATGGAATAATCATGTCCCACAACCAACAGGTTGGAATGCATAGGTCTATTGGCTTTCGCACAAAGCAGATAAGCCTTAACCACCAAACAAACATGTGCACATATAACATATAATCATATAGTAGTCTATAGACATAACTGATGTAACAGATCATACCACATACCACATAATATTATCCTACCCTCTAGGATACCGAACTAACAGATCATACTAGCATAACATAACCAATAACAATTCAAAGGGCCGGCCTTGGTGCCATAGACCCTTGAGTACAGTGAGGATAACTCACCTCATAATTGATGGGTTTTGAGCATTCTAACACTTCCTAAGTGTACATGCAACCCTAATAACCTTGGATCTATGTTTGTCTAATAATCATGCAAAGTTGAATTCCAAGGTTATATTCCTATCTAGCATACATGGGGAACACTTTTAACTTAAAGTATAGATAGAATAACTTACCTTGTTGTTGTTTGTGTTCCTTGAAACCTTGTGAGCCTAGCACCCCAAGTGTGATGCCTCAAATGCTTCACACAACACCAAATGCTCTTGGAAGAACTTAATAGAACACACACTTCTCAAAATCGGCCAAGCCCTCTAGTTTCTTAGTGTCGCCGATTTTAGGTGGAGAACATGTTTCTTATATAGTGTTGACACATCTAGGGTTACACCCTAATGTGTCATGACTCTTCATTTCCATGACCCATGGGTTTGTAACTCCCATGGAGCATCCATGGAGCATCCTATGGGTGGAACCCAACTTGATAATCCATGGAGCCTCTTAGCCCACTATACAAGATATGGATGATTTACATAATCAACCCATATATTTAATTAGTTATCTTTTGATCACATAATTAATTCTAAATTAATTCTTGATCAAACTAATCAAATAATATTATTAATATATTAGAACTTATAATATATTAATAATCTCCGAGTGTTATTTCTCTCATTTAGTCTATCCAATTGCATGGTGCCATGCAACCCAAATGGACCATGCCGGGTCGGGTCAAGTACATACCAGAAATAGTTATGGACTTAGACACCTTATCCAACAATAATGTCACACTGAAAATGATAGGCTCAAACTCTCGTATCACCAAAATGAACTCCACTACCTATATTTAGCAAAAAACCCTTTTTCCATAAATCTCCAAATTACCAAAATACCCCCCAGAGGTCAACTGGTCAACCCTTGGCCAAGGTCAAAGTCAACAATCAAGGTCAACAGTCCATGTTGTCCCAACTCGTCGAGTGCAGTTCACCGACTCATCGAGTTCTTCCTAAACTCGAGAAGTCATGAAATCCTACGTTGACACATCCAGTACCCTTATAACTCGTTGATTTCATACGTGTCCAAAGGTTGAGAGAAACCCTAGCCGACTCGCGGAGTCTTCGACTGACTCACCGAGTCCAAGGCAATCCTCAACGGACTCGTCGAGTTGTTCATCAACTCGTCGAGTTCATGCCCATCTTCATATGACTCACTGAGTCAACCTTGTGACTCGCCGAGTCCCTTCAATCCCTCATCCATACAGATGCTTTTTGTGACAACCGTCAAATTCTGGTCAATTCAAAGTCAAATAAAGTCAACGAGTCAAATCGGTCAGCTCAACTAACCCTTGTGTACTTGGACTTACGTTCAGTATTTACTAAACAACCCACTATTCTAATAAGAAAACATGAATCAAAAAGTACGTACAACTAGATCTCTTTAACCTAAAAACTGTAGTACGTGGCGAGCCAAACTGATAAAACAATGATGCATACTCATCGGGAGTGTGTAAGATCCTTAAACAAGGCTTAACAGGGTTTACGAACCATGCATTGCGATGCCGGACACTCACAATTGTCACACATGGATCCTCTCTCAATCGTTTTCACTCTATCTCTCTCTATGTCAAATCTCTCCTTAATCTCTCCACGTGTGTGAAATCTCTCTCTAATATCTCTCTGTATTAGAAATCTCTCCAAGAATGTCAAATCTCTCCCAAATCTCTCCAAGTATGTGAAATCTCTCCCAAATATCTCCCTGTATGAGAAATTTCTCCAAGAATGTCAAATCTCTACCAAATCCCTCTAAGTATGTGAAATCTCTCTCAAATATCTCTTTATATGAGAAATCTCTCCAAGAATGTCAAATCTCTCCCAAATCTCTCCAAGTATGTGAAATCTCTCCCAAATATCTCCCTGTATGAGAAATCTCTCCAAGAATGTCAAATCTCTACCAAATCCCACTAAGTATGTGAAATCTCTCTCAAATATCTCTTTATATGAGAAATCTCTCCAAGAATGTCAAATCTCTCCCAAATCTCTCCAAGTATGTGAAATCTCTCTCAAATATCTCTCTGTATGAGAAATCTCTCCAAGAATGTCAAATCTCTCCCAAATCTCTCCAAGTATGTGAAACCTATCTCAAATATCTCTTTGTATGAGAAATCTCTACAAGAATGTCAAATCTCTCCCAAATCTCTCCAAGTGTGAGAAATCTCTCCCAAATCTCTCTCAAAAGTTTCCCGTTACTTTTTGGAATCATTCGGGTCATTCCGGCCCTTAACCGGGTCAAAAACGGCTTGAAACGGGGCGAAAACGAGAAAAATAGGCTTTAGGAACCGAAACCGGAGTGAGAGGCCTCTTAGGACCAGAGACCGAGCCTCTGGTGGCTAAGAGACCAGAGACCGAGCCTCTGGTGGCTAAGAGACCAGAGACCGAGCCTCTGCCTCTGTCGCTTCACGCTCTGCTCCTCTCGGTCTCTGTTCGCTACTCCGCCCCTCTGTCTCTGTTCGCTACTCCGCCCCTCTGTCTCTGTTCGCTACTCCGCCCCTCTGTCTCTGTCTCGCGCCCTCTGTTCTCTCCTTCCCCCTCTCGGTTCCTTCCCTTCTCTTCTTCCCTCTCGGTTCTGCCTCCCTCTCTCTCTCGGTTCAGCACCAGAAGGCCGAGCCTCGGCCAGATTTCGCATTTTTGCCACTTTTAGCCCATTTTTGATATTTTTAACATTTTAAGCCCATTTTTCGTGATTTTAAAGCGGGATTTTCTCCAGAAATTATATTTTAACATAATAAACTCTAAATATTCATAATTTAAACATATTTTGATGAAAATCATTATTTAAATAATAAAAATCAAATGGGTGGATTATTAAAGGTGGAGTGTTGACTTTGCCTTATCCAATGTCACAAGCAACCACCCCACACCCACTCTTTGACTAACCACACCTCTCCACCTTACCTATATCACTTCAATGTTCCCTTACACTCAAATTTCACTCACTCCCACGTTTTTAGAGCTGGAACCAACATCCTCTCTCCTCATTTTCTTTCATTTGCCCTCATTTCACTAAGTATCAAACACCACTTTCTCTCAAACTTTTCCCACTCCAAACTCAAGATTCAAGGCTGATCTTCACGTGTTCTTCCACTCTTAGTAAGTAAAATTCATCCTCCTTATGATTATTTCACTTCATTCTACTCAAATCATGAATATTTTACACAAACTCCATCATATTAGCGTTAGAGCTTCGAATCTTCAAGTGATTCTTCAAGTGTTCTTGGGTTGAACACTTCTCTTTTTCAACAATCATCTACTGAAATCACTCAAGGTGAGTTCATACCCCTACATTTTCATGTTTTCTCAAGTTTTCATGGGGGGAATACAAGTTAAAACACTAAGAACATAACTAAATTTTTCTAACAGCCTTCATCAGAAAAGTTCAACTCCATTCACGGACTGTTTTGGGCATCTTAAACATTTTTGTTTTCAAAACTGTACATGGTGAAAATAGTTCAAGTTTTTAGCTTTAAAATGGCTACTTGCACATCTCCATACGATTTTTCTACAATTTATGGTGGTTTTTACAAAACTTCCTATCATTTCAAACAACAATCCGGACCAGTCTGTGATTTTGGACGTTTTCACCCAAGTTGGAGGTCATTAAAAATCGTGATAAAAATTATGAGTAAACTAGACACATTTTTTGAACTCTCAAAATTTACGGATCTAGTTTTCGACTTCGTATGATTTTTCTATGATTTTTCCAAAAACAGGGCAGAATGGCTAAAGTTAGCCAACAGCATGTAAATATCATAACACTTTGTATTATGTTGAGCAAAGTGTATAATCATAAGTTCTAATATTTGAATGTGTTTCCTTATTAGTTTATCATTATGAACTGAAACTAAGACATTCATATTAAATATTATTCATTCATTTTAGAACACGTATTATTTAACTATAAAAAGTATAGTTTGATAAAGTCATAACACTAATACATTTCCATAAAAGAGTTCATACATATTACATACATTTTAGATAAACTATAATAGGTATAGTTTATGATACATCACTCAACGCACTCGTACAAAAAGGGTACATTCATACAAGAAAGATTTATATTCACACACATTTCACGTAAATTTGTTAATCTATGGTTTGATAAATTCACAACACTAATACATTTCCATAAAAGAGTTCATACATATTACATACA